CAGCAAGAAAAAAGAAAAGTATATTTAAGATTCCGAAATTCGTTATTATTGCAATAGCGACACCCACAGAAAAAAAAAAAAAAAAAAAAAAAAACACAGACAAAGCAAAGTGTTTATTCCACCCACCTCCACTTGGAGTAGTTTGAAGATCAGTTGGGAGGCCTACCTGGTGGGACCTGTGGAGGGTCTCTTGTGCTAAGCCCCATCATCGTGGACGACCTCCCCATGCACGGCTTCATTGCCCTTTCCGTGTTGTTGGGCCCGCTGTTCCGAGTTCTATTTCCCCTTGGCTTCGGGAGAATAAGCACCTCTCGTATGATGATGCGCTTAGGAGCAATGAAGCCAGGGCCCACTCCTGCTGAGCAGGCTGAAATTGACCACCGGCAGGCAGAAAAGAAAAAGGAGAAAGAAGAAAGAAAGAAAAAGAAAGAAGAAGAAATAAAGAAAAAGGCCCACATAGAAGAAGAAGATTTGAAGAAGAAGTTAAAAGAGAAGTTAGACCAAGAGTTGAAGGAGGAATTGCAGACTATTGAAGAAGAAGAAGAAGAAAAATCTGAAGAAGGGGGAGGAAGACTTGTCACGCGGCATGCAGGAAAAGGTGAAACAAGCCAGACAGCGGGTGAACTTGATGTCAAACCGCTGGACTGGTACGACCAGTATGCCAATTTCAGTGATAGACCTGAAGAAACAGAAGAAGTAAGGGATGTATTCGTTGCGAGATTGACGACTGTTATAGACCAAAAGGAAAAAGAGCTCATGCTTGAAGAAAAACACGCCGAGCTGCATAATAAAATGTTTGCAGCCAAGCGATAAAAACTTGATGAAATAAAAAAATTAAAAGTAGAGGGAGCAAGACTGCATAGCGAGCTACAAGCACAGAAAGACAAACAAGCAGCCACCGAAGAAAAACTTGCTCTGTTGACGGAAGCAGTCCTCCATACCAAACAAGAAGTAGCCGCAATCAACCGGACCCTATAAAAAGTTGAAAGCCATCAGCATGAATTTGAAAATGTCTGGAATACCTTTCTGCAGAAGTCCGCCCAAGACCTAGATCTGCATATTCAATCCTACATCAAGAAATTAGATGATCATATTACCCAAACCTTCACTCCGGCCGTGATTGAAAAGATAGTGCAAGGCAGTGGCGGCGGATGAGGCGGTGATGGAGACGGGGATGGAGGCGATGGAGACCGAAAAGTAAAAGGGGTGCTGTGAGAAGAAAAAGCGGGGCCAAATAATAAAATTAAAGTTAAAATTTCATGGACTTATACAGGTAAAAAAAAAGAAAGTGTGTTGCATTGATCAACTCACCTTTTTGGCAGGCGATCATCAAGGCTTGGAAGAAAACCTTCCCGAACAGTTGGAAAAAACCTGTTACCAAATCAGAAGTCTTAATCCAACCGCTCTTCGAGAACCCGAAGATTACCTTGCCTAACGGCCTCCCATTCTCTGCTGACTCATCTCCTGGCAACTTCGGTCAGTCGTGGGGTGCTCAGGATTGGAGACATGTGGAAGGACCTCACTGGAGATTGGAAACAGGATGCGGAGCTTAGAACGACTTTGGGACAAGTTAGACAACTAAAGAGGAAGAAAGAAGCTATTATTGCTGCAATCCCCATGGGATGGAAATTACGCCTCTTCTCAGAATCGTTAGACCCCCCGGGCACATGGTACTCTTCAGACTCTGCCTCTTCCTCCATTTGGCTTCTCATAGAACACTTGCCCGAGGGCAAACGACTTGAAACGAGTCTTTCAGGCCTACTCGGTCCTTCCCTCTCAGACCCTGATTAGGGATGAGGACAATCCTCAATCCCTGTTGGGACGCCCTCTTTACCAAGTTCGGGTACTGGTGACAGGGGTGGGAGAGTCAGAAACGGAGTACAGAATGTTTGGTCAAGGTCTCTCTATTCTCCAGCTGAAACTTGATCCCTACCTCTGGGAATGGACAGTGTCGGGGAGAGGAGGCTTCTATCCCAATCTCACAGAATACTCACTGAAGCTGGGGTACGCTCTGTTGAAGCCATTGAAATGTCCACTGGTCAAAGGTAGGCCCCGCTGGATGAAACTGCTTGAATTGGACCGGGAAGTAGACCTGGCTCGGATCGACTCTGCACTATGCTCATGCTGGGAGCAGCTAGAACTCATCCCCTGTCAAAGACAGGCGTCTATTTTGTGGCTGGTTTCCATGGTTGTTACCCCATCTACAGTATGGCTAGCACAGAAGGGCGTAACAGTGGACCTTAAATGCAGCAGATGCAACTGGGCTTTTGAGTCTACCATCCATCTGTGGTGGGACTGTCCGGCCTCGGAAAAGATCTGGAAATGGTGTATTGCTCATTGGAATCCCATCTCAGGGCCGGCTTTCCCATGGAACAAAGAATGGACTCTATTAGGAGGAATTCCGGAGAACTGCAACAAGCACTCAGGCTGGGGATATGTGGCCCATGTGCTCCGTGGCATTACATTTTCAGTCATTTGGCAGTGCCGAAACGATCGTGTGTTCTGATTGTTCAAGGATAACGAATGGTCGAATAAACAGATCAGAAGCTCAGTGTCCCTCCTGCTGCGTCGATCCATTCAAGCCGACTGGAGGCGCAAAGTGTCCTGTTCCAAATCTCCCGTTCAAGGCCTCCAATGGTTCATATCCACTTGGTGCCAGGGAGGGTCCTTGGCAACTATTGATGCTCTGTCCAGATTGCAGTTAGACACATGGGTTTTGAATTGAGTATGCTGTTTTTACTGGGTGTGACTATGTTCATCTCTTGCGGGTCAAAGGTGTGTTTTTGGGTACTGGGCAGTGGCTGTGATAGTAACTACATTTATGCGATCAATTGTGTTGCTCCCGTCCACCGCCGGCGGACGGTTAGATAGATAGAGAGATAGCTTAAATATTAGCTGTTGTATGAGTCTCTGGACTCTGGAGTGACAACTTTGGTGGATATGGTTTCTTATTTGACCAACTTAGACTGCTCGGTTGATATTTAGCCACGGGAGGCAGGCAGGAGGACTTCGTTTAGGGGAGGGAGCGTGCTTGGTATAGAGGGTCTCTTCAAGACCTCTCTTCCACGGCTGTAGGTGGTTTTGTAGGATAATAATCGTAGTTTTTGTTTTGTTTGTTTCTGGTTTTATCTTCGGATGTGGGTAGCAGTAGACAGGTTTTCTTGGTTTGTGTAGCTTTTTTGGGCCTTGTGGTTTTTCCTTTTTTTTTTTTAAGGGGTGGACCTTTTGTCAGGGCAGCGGTCTTGCTTTGGCCATTTCTGCCACTGGACCTTTTTGGCCCACCACCTCATTTGAACCAAACTGGGTAATGGTCCCAGTACTTGTTTTCCGGGTTGTTTGTGGGGGGATTCCCGGCCTCCCCCTTCTTCTTTCATGAAATAAAAGTGGCTCTTTTTGTGGAAATAAAATAAAATAAAATAATAATAATAAATAAAAGAAAAGAAAAGCGGATTTCTCCCCCCCCAGTTCTTTTCATGACTGATAAGAGAAAAACAGTTCTTTGCCGTGTTTGTTTTTTCTTTTTCTTGTTCTTGTTCTTCTTCTTCTTCTTCTTCTTCTTCAATGTTCTTTGCCGTGTTTTTTTTTCCTTCTTCTTCTTTGCTGTTTTCTTCTTCTTCTTCTTTCTTCTTCTTCTTCTTCTTTCTTCTTCTTCTTCTTCTTCTTCTTCTTCTTCTTCTTCTTCCTTACTGTTTTTGTTTTCCCCCGTCATGATCGGCGTCATCTTATTCTTTTTGTTCTTTTTCTTGATTCAGAAGTTCTTTGCTGTTTCATATTTGTTTTCGTTCTTCTTCTTGTTGTTCTTCTTCTTGGGGCAATTCGGCGGCGGTGGTCACACACACACACACACACACACACACACACACACACACACACACACACACAGAGTTGAGGCAGACTGCCAGCACAAACTTCGTGTGGGCCGTGCAAGCATGACTGTGTGCCACAAGTCAGACCTCAAGTTGACAAAGATTCGGCAACGACGGCAAGACGACGAATGTATCAAACCAAAACCCATGTTCGCATATATGAGACTCACGCCACATCCATTTCTGCTCTCACCACAGCCACAAGACCCACAACAGCCAGAGGCCACGTAGGAGGCATTGAGGCAATGCATTCGGCCTGCAACGTGGTGTCCCTCGACATGTTTTGTCTGTCCGTCTGCAGACTCTTTAGGAGGGTAACTCAGACCAGCATTCCCAAAGAACGCCTCCCCGCCCTGCCATCACATAAACAGTTTCCCGAACCTTAGTCCTGCCTTAATCAGCCACTGACAAACGGACACACTCTCCCACACACACACACACACACACACACCCACACACACACACACATACACACACACACACCCANCAGAGAGAGAGAGAGAGAGAGAGAGAGAGAGAGAGAGAGAGAGAGAGAGAGAGAGAGAGAGAGAAGCAGCGCTGCCCGCCAAAGGAGTGTCAAACGTACTTTTCTTCAAAGGAGAACTGTTTTTCGTCTGTTGAATGCATACTGAGAAGAAATTGTCATTCGCGATGCCCCCTCTAACATACAGAACAGCACTTTCAGAATAGTCACGCACTTCTGCTAAAGATTCACAATGAGATCCAGGGAACAAAATAGACCTCTGCCAATGGTCACACATGGCTAACGTGGCCAAAAAACGGTTACGGCCAAAAGAGACGGGGAAAAACTTCCGAAAATGAGGCCTCGGCGCTTCGCGCCCTCTCCCAGTCACCACACGGCACATTCTATCTACATGTAGTCTAGTGTACATCACTACACTCACACTCTCGCTCGGCGCATGGCTGCACGATGAGCAAGGCAGAGTACACTCTCATCTCGACCTGCTCATCTACACCTTATAGCTACGTCAATCACAATGACTCACTAACTGCAGACATTCCAGTTCACAAGTTCGCCTGGGGGGGTAATTGGTTGAAAGCGCCCACGCGGAAACCTTGGCTGCACCCTTCATGCTTCTAAGTAGACCCACTGTCCCATACTCCCAGTCGACCTATAAGCTGATGCCTTCATTCACGGCTCGTCGGCTACTGTACGCCATCGACAATCACCGCCGACACCCAAGGCGACATTGACATCCCTTCTGCAATAATGTGCAATTCCTCTTCTCGATCATTGCACTTACCATGGTGCGCCAATCCAGAGCACCGATCGAGAAGCTCTGTGTGGGTACCACAGCCTGCCGACCATAGCCGCTCGATCATAACAGCGAATATAGGGAGCGCAATGACATCCGCGCACTCCGGACTCAGTGTGAGCAGTCAATGAGTCTCGACTCTCAAGCCCCACTGTTATCTCGCATCTCTATTCCCAATCCCATCTCTTCGATTGCCGTCTCCGGCCCGTTTGCAGGTGACCGGCTGCTCTTGGATGCCAGAAGCCGTGTACTGGTGTAACCCCCTTCCGCCGAGCTGCCACTAGCAGGGCCCGCACTCCCATTTCCATTTCCACTTCCACTGACGCTTGGAACTCCGTCTCAGCTCGTCTGGACCCTTGGACATAACATACACGCAGAGCCAGAACACCTCAAGCCTGCGATCCCACGGCGTGATGGCAGCATTCTTGTGATTGTAAGCCTGAATCAAGAAATTCACAAGAACACCAAACCACTCACTATACCAAGCGAAGTTCAACCCCGCATCCATCCCCTCTGGCGGTATACTCGCACTAGGACGTTTTCTTCTAAGCTCTGGTCGTATTTGCGGTCAGATTCGTCGATGTCTGCCGGTAATTGCAATCAGATACATTTCGAAAAGTGCTACCGGACCGGTAGTGTGCGTATGCCCTGACTCAGCCATCCGACGACACCACTGGACCCCGCTCCGCGGCTCGGATAATGACCAACAACAAGCTTGCGCCATGGCAGTATGTTTTTGAATCGTGTTCTGCTCTCGACGCACAATGTCCCACAGGCAGGCAAAGCCCCCTGACCACATGTTAGCTTTGACACGGTCCCATGTCTTCCTTCGGATGAGCCAAAGCGATCGCCATAGCTTGAGAATCACCTGCACGATCGTCCAAGTGCTTGCCACCATAAGCCCACCAGAGTCTCGTCATTTCTCCTCCAGGGCACTCTTCCCCAACCCAACGGACCGCCATCACCAGCTGCTTCATCTTGGAACAGGGATGGCATGTCTCGGGGGCACTCCAGTGATCCAGCGCTCTGTGATGCACATGGCCTGCAGGACAGCCACATGTTCACAATGGCCCCATTGCACCATCAGTCCCTTACGCAGGCTTAGGTGGAAAGCATCTAATCGACATTCATCTGCACTGCATCACACAGCACGGCGCCGTGATTCTTGTCCCATGCCCCGTGAGTTGGTGGCCCTATCCCTGCCACAGCATGGCGCGCAGGGTTGCTTCTAGAATCTCCTCCACTGACGATCCCCTCTTATCTCATCTCTTCACCGACCCCCCACATAAATGCCCTAAACCGGGCTATTCTCGCCAAGGAAGGACACCAATTCTCCCCATCCAAACGTCTCCAAAGAATGACCGGGCCACAGTGCCAGCTCCTGCCGCTGCAATCCCTGCGGGCGAAGTAAGATTTGCTATCATGGGGTCCCAAGTGGACGACTCCTCCGAGTCTTGACTGTACTGGCATGACGAGTTGTACATGAGCGTCGCGCCGTCGACATTGACGATGGCACAGAATACACAGCAAAGTCTTTTCATCCCTGCATACTATGCTTCACACAGATTCCAACGTCCTGCCGCAACCCAGAGAACAAGAGTCAAGATAGCTCAGCACTTGCCTGTAGACTGCAGACCGTGCAGAGAAAGAAGGAAATCACGATTTCGAAAGGTCAGGCCCTGTAGACTCATTGTCGAGTGTCTAAACAGTCCAACCAGACGCCGGACCTTTCTACACCAAAGATGGCGGGAATGCTATGATCTGTCCACCAAAAATGGCGGGAATGCTATGGTCTGTCCACCAAAGATGGCGGGAATGCTATGGTCTGTCCACCAAAGATGGCGGGAATGCTACGGTCTGTCATGACTCAGACTACAGAAGATGACATAAGGCAAGCAAGTCGTACGTACTACCCAAATCCGAACTGGTTCACAAGAAGGCCGTACTCCATAGTGACCGGTGATGTACAATGGCTTCCGCTGAAGATGGGTCACAAAAAAAAAGGACAAGCCTCTGAGCAGAAACGAAAAAGAAAGACCAACTCAAGGCTCAAGGCTACATCGTACGAGCCCCATCCTCCACCAGCCTTTTTGTCTCTGTCCGTCGAACTTAAGGACCACCACAGAAGCTCTCGACCATGAGTAAGAAGACAGAGGAAGACGTGCGTCATGTTAGACAGCATGCGGGACATCGCGTCGAAATCCACATAGACGACGAAAGGACGACAATCCAAGACCAGCATCACAGAAGACACCAGGTATATATTACTATTACATCACGTGCATCCCGCTCACGTAGAGGTTGCCTTGCCGAAGGGGCAAACATAGATCGTACTGCAACTAACTGAGTACCGGCGCAAACCTCAGCAGCACCGACTTCAGTCTAACGCCGTCTATCCAACACCAAGACAAACAGATAGATACATACACGGCGTCAAAGCAGACAAATAATCTTTGAGAAATTGATACCAAAGATCACGCACTCCTAATAAATTACAAACCCATTTGATCCTTCCCGTCTCTGGGCGTTTGCATCTCGATGGACTTCCGTCCGCCATTCGATCTCCATCATCTCCTCGCGCACTGGTGCGGACAAAACACCCCGGCCTTTGCCCCGGTTCCGACGGTTCGAGCCATTAGTGCGTGTGGACACTGGACAGTGGAGACTCTTCCCTCAGTTCCCTGCCCTCTCCTATACCGCGGTAAATGGACCTTGGAAGTTGGGTGTCATAGTCACTCCTCAGAGGTCCTCACGACGACTGAAGCCCCAAAGATGGCTGCTTCGCCCACTTGCTAATCTTCAAAAACCACTTTCTAGAAGAATACAATTCCTAGTTCAAACCATGCGTTCATACCCGGACCAAGGGCGATCCTTTCCGTGGACAGAAATCGGTCCGTCCGTCCGTCCGTCCGTCCGTCCGCGCAATCCATCGCAGCCCTGTCATCCCATCCGCCCGCCCAACAAGAGGCAATCCACAGCCTCGAGCAAGGAAAGCAATGGGTTTAAACCTTCTACGGAAGGTCGATGCAGCGTGGAAATGGTGAGGGTGACTTGTGAATACGTCATGGTAGCTACGGCCAGATCTATACCGAATTGGTTTTCGTTGCAGACTTAACCTCATGCGCAAGCATCCACCAAGGTACCTACCTACCTTCACTGGACCTTCATCACACACAAGGGAAGCAAGCCCGCATAAACGAGGGCGGCCCCATTCTTGATTACCAAGCGCGCGTTTTGTGAGCACAGATGGAAAAGACTAGAACAGAAAAGCGAAATTAACGAAGCACTGGGGATGAGAGAGAAAAGAGAAGCAGCGGAAGCCGGAGGGGGGCGGTGGTTTCTCAGTACCCGACGGTGTATGCGCAGCTAAGCTGCCTTCCGTTGTAGATCTGTCCATCGATGCAGTCCTTGGCAATGAGCTTGCACAACTTGCCGAATATGGAGATACGGACTGAGATAGGCGTCTGTAGAGTCGACCCTGCAGTGGACCAAGCAGCTCCGAATGCGCGCGTCATGCTCACCCAGGGACCGCCTTTCCCGGCAACCTCCATCTTCAATACTCTTCCGCTCCCGGGAATGGCCAGCGCCGTGACCTCGAGCCACCACCTGTGGCCTCTCAGATTCAGCTTCAGGACCTTGTAGGGTGCGCAAGGCACGCTGCGGAATTGGATCGGAACGTGTCCCGCCCTCGGGTCCGCGATGATGGGGAAAGCGTCTTTGCCAATGTCCAAGTGAAGCTGCAAGGAGAGCCAAGGTTAACACATACAAAAACGAGTGATACCCAAACCAGGGTCAGACAGCCACCTTTGCGTTTCTCCCATTCATTATAAAAAGAAAGAGAGGAAAAAAACATTGCGCAAGGGTACGATTCATCGTGAGACAGTGATTGCAAGACCCATTCCTGCTCATTCCTGCCCCATTGTAACTCATAATGGTCCTGTCACCCATCCCGAGCACATAGATAGATGACCCCGATTTGTAGTTTCACTTCAACGGGAGAGCTCATCGTCCCCAGTGTACAGGAAAGACTGTTTGCACGAACGTTCCAGAGAAGGCAGGAAAGAACTCGCACCCACGCAACTCATCATTCATCACTGACATACGCAAGCGATCCAGCAGATTCCAGCGCAAAGTGATGGAAACCATATAGAACGCTCTCTGTTCACAAGAGTCACAAGAGAAGACGAGCCTGCCGGAACGCCGGTGACCCAGAGAGATCGATCTCCAAAATTCCAAATTACTAAAGAACAGCAAAACAAAAAAAACGTACTTAAAAGAAGAAGAACCAATACGTAAGCGAGATACGATATTAGAGATGCCATTTATGGTGAAGTGTTGGAATTAGAGAGTCTGCAACGGCTATGACGATCAGAAGAGCTTCATAATCTCTCACCTTTCCTCCACCGCACCATTGCGTGTTGGGGTAGCCAGGGGGGCACAAGTCCGTGATTGTAAGACGGACGCTAGAGCGTCTGCAGGCTGTGCTGCCAACACACCGGACCTCCAAGCACATTCCGCACGCCAATCCTCCCAAGTACACACTGGGCGAGCCCGCAGCAAATCGGGTCCCGAACAGCTGACCTCCGAGTGCCCCATATCCACAAGCTCCGCCGCGACCATAGTCATCATAGAAGGTCGAATGGCCATTTAGCCACGGCCCCTGAGCCGACAGGAGCGGATTGCAAATGCTGCCAATGCTAAAACCCCTCGCTGCGCCGACGTGGAAGCAAGCCAGGGCCAATACGGCAATGGCCGCTACTAGGAAAAGCCTGCTCGACCCCATTGTCCTCGTCCTCGCCTCACTTAGGTGCCCCAAGGCCTTGGGCTGTACACAACAAGAGCAAGCAGGGGGAGCCTGATACCTGCAGGAGCCCCTACAGGAGAGCTTCAGGCACGAGGACCGTCACGATATGGCGCCGTCAACCTGCAACCCTGGAGCTCTTCGACAATTCACAAACGGACCTGCCCTCTCCTCTCCTGCTTGGAAACGTAGCGGCCCTGCAAAACGGCAACGAAAGCATTCTCAAGCGGTCACAAACGGTCACAAGCAGTCTTCACTCTTACAACAACTTCCGCCTACTAGGAAGTCCGTTTACAGGTTCCGCTGATTTGCAATCCGTCCGCAGGCCATGCCACGTCGTACCGCAGGACATACCATGGTCACAAGACTCACAAATCCATATGGACACGTCAGTGAAGTCACAAGAGTTCTATCTCCAGGTTGAGAGTGGACGCAATGTAAATTTGCTGCGCAAAAAGTATGGAGTATCAAGCGACACGGCTAACTTTTGGGTTTGCCAGCCAAGAGATACCGAATACGCCGTCCGAATCAATCGAGAGATCAAACAATCAATCGCCCATCGGATTAATCGCTTCAAAAGGGAAAGAACGCACAAGTCGCAGAAAGAACAAGGAGCTAAGCAACGATTTCATGGCCCCCTCAAGCCCAACAAGTGGCCGGCATTTTAGCATTCACTCGAAACAAGTCAACTCCATGTCGCCCGTGACGTAAAAATGACAGACAACGGGAAAAAAAAAAGAAAAAAAAAAAAGACAGACAATGCAGCAGCGGGCCCCCGCATCTATAACGTTCCGATAGAGGCCGATTCCCAGAAATTGGCCGTCAATGCGTCACCTCTGTCACTTTTCTGTTTCTTGTGTAGAGAAAAAACATTCCATACCCATCTCTCTCTCTCTCTCTCTCTCTCTCTCTCTCTCACACACACACACACACACACACACACACAAAAAAAAAAAAAAAAAAAGAAAAGAAAAGAAAAAAAAACACGGAGCACGCACAGCCGTTTGTTTACATCCACGTTAAATTTTTCGGTTCTGTCTTACTTACGCGCCACTTACCGCGACAGTGAATTCTTCTTTACACTTGTTATGCGCGGTGGTGATCTTTGTTTTTTAGTCCAGCGGACGCCTTTCTGAACCTACAAGTCAAGCGTTTGAGTGGTTTTCCTTCCCAGCATCTGGCACCGCCTTCGGACAATTGTAAGCACCCACTTGGCCCGCAAGTGCGACGGCTGATCTGGAGCAATGGAGGAAATTCAATACGAGGATGTTGCTCTCCTGCAATGGCAAAGTCTGTTCCCGTCCGTAATGAGACGGCGAGGCAAGCCTATCCTAGAACCAGAAGGTTGACGACGGAGCCAGAAAAGCACGCTCCATGAGAAATACCGGCGCCAATGGAAATTCTCAGAGTAACTCAGCGAGCGATGGACGCCGCCAATGCGCCCGGAGGCTCGGAGCTGTTAAGCCCTCCCGAGCTAGCGATCAGCCAGTGCGAGTGAATACCGTACTTGCCACGACCAACTATATGATATTTTTAAGGGACCTCTTGTTGCCTCCTTTGCCTGTGGCCGTACGGAGTACGGGAAAGACACCTCTTGGCATTGGAAGAAGACGAGCGCGGAGAGCGAGGGGAGGGAGGGGTAAAGAGAGGGGGGCCGGGAACCACGGCATCCATGGGAACCACCAGACCTTGGGTCTCTGCTCCCCTGATTGAAACCGCGTCTTTCGGCTTTTTTATTTTACTGCCAAATGCTCGGTCCTCGAGTGCTAGAAGGCCCCCCAACGGCGGCCCCAACCCTGCATCCTAAACGCTAGGGCAAAGGGACAAACATGCCCTTACCTCCCTCCACCCTCCACCTTCCACCGAGAGAGGTAACCTCCCTTCACCGAAGAGAGGTAGAAAGGTATGCTTGAAGGGGTCCCCTGTATAGCTTTAGGAGTAGTGGTAGAAAAAGGAAAAAAGGAGTGCGGCTCTGTCCTTCGGGACATCCACACAGGAGATTAGCTTGGCCCCGGCGCAAGGATGACACACATAGATCGAGAGTGCGGCTCGGATCCACTAATAGTTCGCCAATAGAAAGGAGCAAAATCGATGGAAAGACTTTTTTTTTTTTTTTTTCGATGGAAAGATTCGTTCGACAGGGCTCTGTCCCCCCAATTGGCATTAAAAAGCAGTCTCTGCTGATGTTCATAGGGGGAGGGGTAATCGGGGAGGCACAGCGACCGGCCACTCAGATGATGCTCGGTCCCTCTGCTATCGGCTGTCCCCTGGCCGGTGTCCCCCATTGGGGGTTCCCTGAAGGCAATCAAGGCCACCCTGGGCTGAAAAGGCCACCCGATGTCAGATAAGACACAATATTGAATTTACCTGGGCTGGTTAGTCCGATGATAAATTGATAATACCTCAAGGCCATCGCCCTTTAAAAAAAAATTAAAAAAAAAAACAATATCCGAGAACACGGAGAACCACGTATGCCTACAATTAGGAGTAGTGGTAGCCTGGTAGTAGGTAGTGTGAGGTGACCAGTCGGTAGTCGAATTGGAATTGTAATCCGGAAACCATGGTCCCTGGACAGAGAGGGGGGGTCCCTGGACAGAGGGGGGGCACGCACGAATCGACGAATGATCTAGAAAACCAGAAACATAAAATCTAGGACTGCCACGTGGGTCCCCAGGTGTCACCATTTTCCTTCGTCGTCATGTGCTCGGTCGGCCTCCTTTTTGTTTTTTTCCAATTCAGCACTGGTGCCACCATTTTCCTTCGTCGTCATGTGTGCTCAGCAGAGTGTTTTTGTTTTTTTTCCAATTCAGCACTCATAATTTCATAAATACCAAAAGCCTCAGGTCTCCTGTGGCAGGGAGAACCTGCCTGTTCCCGCCTGTTCCCGCCTCGTCCCGCCTCAACCGCCTAGCCAACGGGTAGGCGTGCCGTCTTGCACAGATGTCACGCAGCCAGATCCGCGAGACGGGAGTGATCAGTACTTTGTTCTGAATTACGTCTTCCTGTGTCCTGACTATGGGACTAGTTGCAATACTAGCCATCAGCCACAATTCGTGGCGGATGGGTGGACTTTGTGCATGGCGGCCCCCTCCTGTCACACAATTTTGTGGAGGGTGGTACAAGTGACCTCTCCCCTACTTGGTTCCTGTGACGGCCGCCCTGACACGGACGCATGGCTTGGGTTGTCCCGTAGTGTGGGTGAGATGTAGCCATCTGCCACGAAAACAGTCCTGTAGAGCCGCTGTCTGACGAACCAATTTCTGTTCCGCGCGATCTTCTGCGCAATGACAATGAGGGAACAGCCATTTCGTCAAAAGGGACATTTTTCTTTTTTTTTGTATCTGGTCTCAACCATATACCAGATACATGTAGGGGGTCCGGCATTTTTTTGGAACGCCAGACCCCCAGGAGCAAAAACTTCCGACCGGATTTTGGCAAAAAAAGTCAGTTTTGATTTCGTTCAAAAAATATAATATGTCCGTTTTGACGAAATGGCTGTTAGGAGTCCTAAGATGGGAAGGTTGGGCCAATTACGGGAGATCGGGATCAAAGGGAAATTGCATCGGTGTCCTCGCTTCTTCGCCTTTTTGCGTCGTTTCTTTTCGGATGGCTAGGTTCAGGGCCGCGCAAGTCCCGAGATGGCCGATTGAGTGGCTGTCGCGCCGACAAAGGCGCGAATAATAATGCTTGACGTCGCTTCTTTCTTGTTTTGTTGTCGGGTTTTAGGCACGGAGATCGCATGGTAATTTTTTTGTTGTCGGGTTTTAGGCACGGAGATCGCATGGGAATTTTACTTCGTTCCTTTTGAATTTCTTTTTCGAATCTTGTCGGAGCCTTGATGGCTTTCGAAACTTCGGATTTTCTTTTCGGAATATGTGCTTCTTTTTGCATTGGCTAGGAATTTAGGAATTCGGGATTTCTTTTGCCGCACGTTGTCTCTCTCGCGTGCTTCTTTTTGTGGCTGCAACGGAGCTCTGATTAGTTGGCGCCCTTCATCTTGCAAGTAACTGTAATTTTTTGGCGGGCGCCATTGTAACTGTATCTTTCTTCTTGAGCTTCGTCTTCCGACTCTCTCTTTCCCTTTTGTTGTGCCTAGTTATCCCGCGGCCTGCATGCTCGGATTGATGTGTGGAGAGTGGCTACGTCCCCCACGCCGTGGTCTGGCCATGCAGAACGTAGGCGCTCCCTCTCCTAATCTCCCTTCTAAGTCCTTGCAATTCTGTGTTCTTCGCGCATGCACGCACGCTATAAATTCTGGTTGCGCGATTAGATAGCTCTCTTTACCAGTTGTTGGAAGCTCGGGGTAGCGCGATCAGTGAGGGTCGGCTCACGAGCGAAGTAAGAGGTGAGTTGAAGTGGGAGTCGGGCGACCCGACGAGCTGGTTCCGATTGCGCGAGGTTGACGCGTGGGGCTACGACGGAGTGTAGCGCGCGGGCGAACCTGACGGGTGCAGGAGGACTAAGCGGGGTGACGACTTCGTGGGTTGGTGCGTGACGACGGACTGTCCGCATCGGAGAGAGAGAGAGAGAGAGAGAGAGAGAGAGAGAGAGAGAGAGAGAGAGAGAGAGAGAGAGAGAGAGAGAGAGAGAGAGAGAGAGAGAGAGAGGGTTGATGGACGTGGATTTGCAATTTTCTTTGTCTTATCGCCCTCCTTACTTTTGTATATAAATTTTGATCTTGGCTCCGGGTGACTCGCCCGTTTTCTTTTGTTTTCGGAATCTTGGCTTGGCTTCAGCCCCCACTTGTTTTGTGATTGATCTTGTTCTCGTTTATTGTGTGTTTTGTCAAATAAATGGATGAATGAATGATATAGTTGTTGTTTTTCCTGACTGGTCATCGTCTTTGCTTGCCATTTTGATACGTTATTAAGGCATAGTAGAAATGTTAACGTCTGATGTGTGATAACACCTTGCATGCTTGGGAATGATTGCTTGCGAGATCACGGAGTGATTATGTGATTGGGTAGTTGTTTACGGCGCATGGCGATTTTGCAATAGGCGAATGCCTCGCGGGGATACGTGTAAGCGCGATTCGATCTGCGCAGCCACACGTATCCACGCATGCCGATTCGCGACCATTGACAAGCTTGACATCTCCGGTATCGGGTAGGCTGGA